AATAAAAGAGAAATAAATATAAAAAGCCGCGCAGCCTGGCAGCCATCAGTTATGTTTGAAGGTTTAATGGAATGTAGCTGGCTGAGGGAGAAAGAGACGGAAGAAAAAGGAGACGGAGAATAACAAAGAGAAGGCAATGAATGAGGAGAGCACAAACAGCATAAGGGCTGAGAAGCTGGACATAACAAAGAGCTCCAAGGATACCATTACTAACAAGATCAACAAGCTACATCTTCCTAATATGGTTATGCACCGAGCATCCAGTTACACTGATTTACTTTACATGTTGTGCTACAGGACACAACAACAAAGGCCGTTATTCTTCAGCTGTCTGTCAGCACCGTCCCTCTGCCTCCATCCTTTGAATATGATGCACCACCTTTCCTTTCATTCGCCATTTAGACACATTTAGGCGCACGCAAGACGTGGTCGGCCCAGCCGGGGCTTTCGCATCGATGACTATATTTCAGTCAAATAGAAAGTGACTTTTTCAAAAGCAATTTTAACGGCAATGGTTAGATACATTTAAGACGTTGCACAACGTAACCCAGTTACACTCCATAAACAAACAGTAACCACACAGAGAACATAGATCTTCTCTTGAATTCATTAACAGTCAAATACACACTTGAGTTAATACCATCATGGCACGGACCTTTATTCATTCTACCCTTTCATTATATTTTGACCTTTACTTTTCCTGAGTGACATGAAATGCAAATTAGGTTAAACACACACGCTGTACGTCTTCCACATATGATCTCAGGTACAGGTGTTGCTGTTTATCAGAACCCCCAGTCAGGAAATGACTGAAGGGAAACGAGCAGTTCCGATGCAGAAAGTAGGAATTGAGAGGTTTTATAATTGTGTGACAGAACGGGGCCTCAATTCTCATATTGTAAGTAAAAGGAGGGAAGGTGCCTAAGAAATTCCTCCTCCTTGTAATTCTGCCTCTTTGTTAGCGGTGGGTGAATTAGGAGGCCACTGCCCTCTGGTCTGGTTAAACAAGGTACAAACATGACTATAAACTTCAGCAACACAGTTTGTGGAAGCTCAGCGTTCATTTTTAGCTGCAATTTAAAAAAAAAAAAGAGGAACACAAGCACGGATAGATACAAACAGTTTGCATGTGGCTCTTTGCAGACATATTGTGCGACAAAATGAAAACTGCTACCCAGTGTTCTCATTATTTATGTGATGATTTAGGGGCCCGGATGCGCTTTCCATTTCCCACACAGCAAAGGTTGATGGGAAATAAGATCCCATTCATCAATGACACATCTTTATCTGTGATACCTGCAGCACAACAAAAAGAGCTAGTGTGTGTATACTTGTGTGAATGAGTGCACAGAATCCCCAGACACACACCGCCCATGCTCTCATGCCCCCTATCGCGTGTTAATTTACAGTACCTCGCTTATCTGGACAGGTAGGTAAAAGCTGGCGGAGGAACTTCTGGAGCCACACATACAGGTCCCCCCCCTCCATCTTTTCATCTCCTGCTCCTTGTCTATCACGTCTATGAGTCTTGGGGTGGGGGAGGTAGCTTCACACCTGGGCCAGCTAGCCCTGAGTCTTACCTGGTCAAGGTAAGACTCTGGCTGTAAAGGCCATTCTGATGCAGGATTTTACCCTGATGGAGCGGAGAGTGCCATGTTATAGTAGAGTAGTTGAATGCATGGATGTGCTGATGGAGTCCACGCATTGAACATGCTGAAACACGCTCACGTCCGAGGTGAACTGCATGTATCCGTTTACAGCTGACGGCTTGAGTGAGACCCAAGCGTCGCGTTCCAGCGTTACCGGATGGCTAAAAGTCTCCCATTCAACTTAACAAGCAAGCAAGCGCTGTTAGCGTGTTAGCGTGTTGAGCTGGTGCTCGTTACGGCCCTCTGTGAACGGGGGGATTTGGATGAAAGGATTGTTCCCAATCTCATATCACGCTAATGCAATATGAAGCTTCTGCCTGTGGCCAGGAGGCTTAGCTAGACGTACACAGACTGGAAACAACTAGCCTAGCACCGTCTGAACGTCACTATATCAAATGGGAACTTGATGACGGGCTGACTGAATGTAACAAAGCAGAACAAGATGGCAGTCTGGTCTGATTATCAGGCAAACATATTTCCAAGTTGACTCCCAAGAAGCCTTGTTCAGAACTATGTCATTTACTGGAGCGAAAACGGTGTCTTCCAGCATCCTGCTACCCTCCAAACAAAGACGGCCCTGCGTGCGTGTTAGCTAGTAAGCTCAAGGTCATGGCTCGACGAAGCAGAATTGACCACACAACCTCGTGCTTGAGAATACCTGTACGTACATTTGCCCTTCAATGCAGAGCACACAACAGTGGAGCGAATGCACAGGACACAAAGGGTGCGCGCACTCACACAGGACGAGTGACACACACTAACTAGAGACGTGTGCAGCGCTGCCTGGAAGTGCAGTGCCTGGCATATCAACCAGAGCATTACCGTTTAAAACAGCAGGAAGGGAGCAGCAGGTCCCTACTTCATCATGCTTTTCAAGGGCCCTATTAGGCCACAATTACTAAATGGCAAGGCTTGTAAATCATAAATCATTCATGTGGAGCTCTCAGAGAAATGACACACAGGAACCCTGCTCTGCCACCACCCACTGGAACAGCAGAGACGTAACGGCTGGAGCCAATGGGGAAAGGGAAGGACACTGGAAACGGGTTGAATAATAGAAAACCATCCAGGAATGGAAGAAATCTTTGTCTTTGGGTGTGTATGTATGTCCATTGATTTTCGCAACAAACATTCATATAATTCAGCCTTGGCGGTTGAATTTCTGAGGGCCGAAGAAGTGCAATGTGGATTTATATATCTATACAGTGTATACTCTTTAATAAGTTATTACACGCTGTGTAGTGTATTGAGAAACCCTCCTAACTGTTACACCGTGGACGGCGTGTCGGTCACGGCTCGCTTTCCGTTGCTGGCTATGGCGAATTCCAAAATATTAAGGAGATTGGAAGGTTAGAAACAGAAATATAGAACAATTGTTGAAGGTGTTACAAAATATGCTTGAGAAATACCCGATCTCCAGAGGAGGGATTCTATTCATCCATTCACGGTGCTATTATACAATAAGCATAACATAAAATTGTTCAAACTATGTTGAGCTTTGTGTGTCCACTTTTTCAATGTGCTTTGTTGACACTTTGTATATATCAGATATGAAAGAATAGCTCTTGCAGGGTCAACACTTAGACACCGGGCCTTGCTCTGGGGACACTGAGCTGCAGACAATCATAGAAAGAAGAAGACAGCGACGTCTGCATGGGCTGTAAACCAAGACGCCAAACTCCCGGAGGATTTAGCCGACCAATCTGTTTTCAGGGAATTTGCATGTTTCATCTTGATAGTTGATGATATCTGTTCGTACTTAATAGCAGCTAAGCAGCTTCAGACCCACAACACTCAAACGCAGAAAGTCATTTTGTTGCTAACTGATTTTAACATGTAAACAAAACCAAAACACTGACAAGGAGAAAATCTGCCACAAAATGAGGTAACAAACGCCTCTTGGTTAATACACTTAATCTCCTCTTCAACAGCGAGAGGCTTAAAACTGTGGAATCCTGCCGGTCAGACAGAGTTCACCTCAGAACACAGACAGGGTTAATTACTGTCTCTGAACACTGACCGCGGAGGATGAAGTAGTCCAGTCATGATGACTGTTTACCTCACGTGGTCTCAATTACTTTTTTTGAAGATAAATGTATTCATGGCTCAATATTAACTTCTAAAAGTAATTAGCAACTATGGATCATCTTTTGGTTGACAAGGAGGTTGCTATCTTTCTTTCTCTCATAATCACACTAATTAGGATAATGTGTAGTTGTTAAATGTCAGCATATTCGTGAAAATTTCATATAACATATGTATTACAATAACGTTATCTGATCACTGCTGACTGTGTGACATCCTAGAGTTCACAATAAGAGAGCAATATATATATATATATATATTAAATATTCTGGAAAACGGAAAGTGACATTTCTAAACTGATTAGTGACGTCAAATACACCATCTAGGATAGATAAACCTCTGACACAAAGGCCCCTTTATGCAACATTGTACAATGGTTGAGAGAGAAAAAAGAGTTTGGAGTGGAAGGACAAGATTACAATATCAAGCTGAACTGTCAAGTGTGCGGATCTACCAAATGTCAAACTATACATATTCATCTGTTTGTCCAGCCACAGTACAGAGGTAGAGCTCCAGGACAAGTCCAAACAGAGATGGCTGACATTTTCGCGTTCACAACACTGGCAGCTGCACGTAAACAACATTCAATACTCGCACACGCTCAGAAACACACGTCCAATAAATTTAGTAGGGGGATGTTGAAGGTGGATGAAAATAGTATCTGATAAACAGGAATCAAGTTTGAGAGGTCAGAGCCTGATCTTCACAGACAAGCCCATTATTTACTTGCAGTGATGAAGTTTTACTCATATCTCAACTATTTTAAAAGGTATAATTTAACAGCATGAGTCGATTAGAGGTAATGTAAAAAGGCAACCGGGTCATGATTTAAAAAATCTATATAATCTCTTTCTAACAAATGAAGCTTCGGCATGAATTCCAGCCCACGTAGGAGCACTTGCCTTACCAGCAGACGAGCAAGAAGCCATTCTGAGCGCGGCCGGGGGTCCCAGCACCAGGCCTCCCTCTCTCCAGCTGCGTGAGCTGGTCCACAGCTGGCAGAGAGCGAGGCCGGAAAAAAGGCAAAGCTATCAGGACCAGCACGAGCTCCGCAGGCAAGGAGAAGGTTCTCCACCAACTGCTTCGGCCCCATTGAGGACCGAGGTCACCTCCACCCTACAGGTCAGCTTGATGAACACCCTCGAGGCTCGCCTCCAACACCATGGAAACTCTGAGCCTACCCAGCAAGCATTTTACCTTTATCATAGAAATACGTCCAGTCTTTTGCCATGTTGTTTGTTGCGGGTTATGGTAGATTGCTCTTACCTCCACAGGGTAACGGTGGCCGTTAATGCTGTGCTCAGAGCCTTCGGATCCATTGTTTGGACCCCAGTGAAACTCCACTTTTTCTGCTTTAAACCTCCCTGGTAGACCTGCTCCCCGTACGAAGTAATCATCCTTCAACATGATGGCCACTGGAAGAAAGACAGGGGGACTGAGAGTCATACAGCGTTCAACATCGTTTTCAACCAACATAAGGATGGAATCATTCCTCTCAAAGAAACGGAAGATTGGTAGCTGTTGTGGATTTGAAGGACGTGTCAACGATCGCTCATAAAGAGACAGACAGGCTCACACAAAAACATTTGTCGATCTTTGTCAGCTTTTGAGGTTGTTGAAGTTGTCAAATGAGGGGCTAATTTGTCGAGCACATTGTTCTCTATGGACATTGCCACCTGCGCTTGCAGGATGTTTTGTTATTCAATCGCATCCCTCTGAAATATAGAGAGTAGGATTGAAGTACCATAGAATATGAAAATGCACTGTTAAAACAGTAACTGAGGTTTTCACGTGTTCTGATGGTCTGTTGGGTATGATGTTCTTGCTCCTCTTCTAGCCCTAAAGTTTCGGCCTTTTTGTCCGTCTTATTCTGCCTGTAACTTGCGACTGTATTGTGTACCCTTCCCCTGTTCTCCTCCTGTCATCTCTGCCTGCAGCTTAATTATGAATCCCACTTGGTAAGGCCCTCCTTGCATGGCTGGTTCAGGTGATTAGGGTTGGGCATGGACCCTTCAGTAATCAGGTTCAGTATAGCCAGTTAGTGACAATCTCATTTGACATTTTCAAAGAAATTTGTGTTGTTAGGCATCCATAAGTCACAAATCACACACACAACCTCGATTGAGCAAATGGAGGGATGTACATCATTATTTTGCTAAACACATAACTGTGTGTGAGCACCACTCAGCTTGCTGTCAACAGCGAATCCAACCATCTGGGGCCTTTGCCTCTCAGAAGCGTTTGAGCTCCATTTTCCACTGAGGGGTGAAGGATCATCTGTCTCACTGACAACCTGGAATTGTAAAAAATACCTGTGGCTGACAAGGAGGGTCCTCGAGGAGCCAAGAGGGCCGAATGCAGATGTCCCAGTTCTGAACCCTACAGAGGCGACACCTGCCGTGGCACTTGTACTAACACGGATGCATGTCTGAATGCGAATGAACGGAGTAATCTTCATCACAAATGACTTGCTGCATATTGCACCTGTCTGGTTTTATGATCGAGAGCAGGGAAGTCATGCAACAGATGTTCGGCGGACCGACACCTGCCAACGTGAGCGAGGCTTATTAGAGCCGTAACGCTTTTCATTCTCTCTGAACTGTGTCACGGCATCATGTGTCATTAAAAACTGGAAACCTTTGAATAACATGCCTGCTTGTTTGAGGTTTGTGACCACATATTGCATCAAACCTTTGCTAAATGTGATATTTAGTGATAGATTTAACATCATTAAAGCACATTTAAAAAAGGTGGACCATTTTTACACCCCCGATATCTTACCTTCAATTCTCTCAGATATGACAACTTTGTCAGTAAAAGTATGGTTCAATTCTTCATGTCATCATTCACACATTCATAAAGTGATGACAGGAGCTACCACACACAGTGACACCTGCCCATCACCCGCCTGTGGCAGGGTAAATCTCTTGCCCGAGGACACGTCGTCACGGACTGCCAGGGATCAAACCTCTGACCCTGTGATTGAAGGGCGACACTGCTGGACCACTGGGCCACGCTCGCCCTCGGGCACATTACATTGTTTTTTGATGATTGTAGCCTGTATCATCGTAGAAGAAATAAATAGATCCTGAAACATGAAAACTTGCTATAAACTGAAGCTATAATCCAGAATAAGTGCAGTGTGCAACAACGGCTGTGTTGGCTTTATGTACCTGTTTTGCCAGTGTTCTTCATAGATGTCTTATTAGAGGATTCCGCATCGAAGCCCTCTAGTGTCAGTTCCTGAAACTCAGTGGATACTTTGCTGTCCTGGTCCACAATGTTGATTGGTGACTGGTTTCTCTCTTTGCATTCTGGGTAGGCTGATGCCCAGCCTTCATCTGGCCCATATATACCTGAGGGAGACAAGAAATGCAACAGGGTCTCTCATCACTAGACGTACACACTTTGATGGGAAACGGAGTAGGCTTTACAGGGACACATCAGAGGAGAATGACATTTCAGAACCATCTCATATCCTCTGAAAACAGTGACAGTCAGTGAGACACGCCAAGTCATCTCAATTCCAATGAACGCTGCAGAATAAACATTGTGAGCCTCAAACGGATGTGGCTGCAGAAAAAAACAAAACGTTGTCCTTCATGTGGTGAATAGCGATATTCCAAATGTCACTATCAAGGCCATGATGCTATATGTGACATTTTATACAATAACCATTAATATATTTGGGTTTTGTACTGCTGGCGTCCAACCCCTCCTCTCAGACAGCAGAACTCTGTGTTTGTCATTAAGTCAATTACAAGATAAATATGAAATACTTTATAGCATGTATAATAACATTGACTTAAAAAAAAGAGGTTCGCTTGTGGTTACAAGTAGATTGAAAAAGCTGTCATGTTGCTGTAGCTCATGCAGTTCAGTGTCCTGAAGCTACTTTTAATGTTGAGCGACTGTAAGCTTAGCGAACTTTACACTTTCCAGCCAAACACCGTTGAGCTGACAGGGAACCCTAGAACACCTCAGGCGAGTCAGTGGCGAGGACGTTGAAGTGTGTCTCTGCACCCTTTCATAGCAGAAGTCCACGCAGCAAGAGGTGTCAGGAGCATTAGAGTCTTTTTATAGGCCGCAAGAGGGAAGACAAGGACTGAAACGTCACAACGCGCTGCTCACAGAGTAGCTACTAGCACACTGGGGGCTGGATGAGGAGAGCAGATGAACAAGGATGTATCTGTTCTTACATGGAATAGAATATATGTGCTGAGCAGACACATTTGCATATATTCTTCATTTAATAGGATTTCAAAATGCATTTGGTTTTAGCTTAATCACAAACTTATTTCTTGTTGTAAAAAGCTTACATCAGGGATCAAAAAAGCTGCAAAATCTTGCTAGTTGAAAAAGGATCAGTGGTGGGTGTGGTGAGATGTGTGTCTTGCTGCAGCTTTGACCAACAGTGATGTCACACTGCACTGCGCAGTACACTTTTACTGGACCGTAGTCAGTCAACCTCTGGAGTTTAGTCTGCCAGCTGTTAAGTTCCCCTGAGCTGGACTCAACCGAAAAGATTCCTTGCAGTAGTGTGGTTTTTATATATCAGCAGTTATTAGAGCTATTAGAGGTTAATAACTTTAGGTGGTTCTTTTTTTTGATTGTTGGTATATTAATATCAACTTTCTACCTTCTACTGTTTCATCTTATTTCAACAGTGCATTTAATACAAACTAGAAGTGCACTGCCATAACTCCCTGCATACAGCCTGACAACAACAAATATTATGTAGATACGACACGATGCAATTTACTGGAATTGTCAGAAATCGTCAAGCCAATGAAGTCGGCTCCATTTTTACCAGGATTCCAGTTGTCTTTTCACTCACCGTGTCTCCCTCTTGTTTCAGGTGTCCTGACTACCTGTCCTCATGTCTTCCCACTGTGCAAATTGCAGCTGCCCCCCGTGTACTGAAGTGCTTGTGTGCTCTCTGCTGTTTGTTGCCAGTTTGTCTTGGGCCGACCGTCAAGTGTGCCAGCACCTTTGTTCCCAAGTTTAGCACTGATCATGTTTTTGGATTCTGTCTCTGCCTGACCCCTTTTGCACATTTGCCTTCTACCTTTCTGTGTACCGAATCTTGTGTTTTGACCTCGTCTAAGAATAACCCAGCGCTGACTTCTACATCCGTCTACTGAGTCGTGCATAGCGTCCTCCATGTAAAGCACGATGAAATGATCGCTCATAGCTGTGACTGGCTCATTTATTGGATACTGTGGACAAATGGCCTTTCATTTCTGCACAAATTAGATGTTATGTTTTTCATTGCTGGTGTTAAACACTACTGACGGTGAAGTTTGGTCATGAAGAGGCTCCCTGTTCGCTGTAAAGGAGATTTGTTAGGCCTGGTCAGGGTATCTCAGCGTCTCATCTCTACTGCATTCATTTCTCTTGTAAGCCCCTCGTGGGCCAGAACAGCCAATGCATTACATGGTCAACTTAGTAGATCTTCTGTTTTTTCACGGTACTGAAAAGCGTGTTCGTGCTTCCCTCTGCTGCTTTGACTATTGAGCATGTGTGAACCACAACTGAAAAGTTGATGGAAAGTGGAATAGCAGAAAGTGCTGGAGGTCCATTTACGTGCAGGTCTACTTCATTTGGCTAGTTGGCATCAGAGCATTGGGTCATATATCATACGGACCATAAGGTTTAAAAGTTACGCTTTTCTTATTTGCTTGCCAAGTGACTTCAGTGAATTCATGCGGTTTGAGTGTTCTAACCCTGATGCCTTTATACCATTAGCCTGTGAATCTGCCAGTGATGTTAAATAAAGGAGGGATTATCAATTCATCAGAAGCAAACGACGTTGAAGTACAGTAGTGGATTCTCTGGATTTGAAGTACAGACTGATCCCAAATAAATTGATTCCTATATCCTTATACAGCATATATTACAAATTGATGTTTTTATGCCTGTAGTTTGCATTGTCTACAACCAAAGCGGGTGGCGTCTTGGCTGGGTGGAGCTGGGATGAGCGGGAGGCAACCTGCAAATATTCTATTCAATATTTCTCCGCTCTGTTCACCAGCCAGTCCTAACTGTGCCCGTCTGCTATTGGGTTTGGTTCTGAGCAGACAGTGTCCAGGGATTTCAGAGTTTTACTTTATTTATTTTTTGCTGAAAGCTGTTATTTGAAACCAGTTTAATGAGGGAGTGAAACAGGACGGACCAAAATAATGAGCTGAAAGACACAAAAATCCCCCAAACAACAGACAATGTAAAATAAGGAATTGTATGAGCTTTAAAACAGTGTTTTACTGATTTTATATGTTCAAACACATGAAAAGACTATTATGGAAACATTTAAATAAACAAGACAAAGAAATATTGACAATTACAATATGTACAAAGATCCTTGTGATTTTTTGCATGTTGATGACTCAATGCCACATTCAATAACTTTTGCTAAAAATTAAATAATGACATATCTGGGATTTCTCTACCTCACACAGACTTACGGTTATCTTATTTATGAATGAAGTTGGAATAATGTTGAAGGGGATCTATTAAACGTGTTAGACTCTCTGATGGTAGAGAATTAATTACAGACCCATGCAATTGCATGTTGCACGGTGTATCAATACTAAAAAGGTACTGCGGTACCCGTACGCAAACATTTTTTTGCATATTTTTTGTATCAAAACGTCCTTAAAATAGCACACAGAGCGTGCTCCTTCAATTAATGCCGGGATTAAAACAGTTTTTTTTAACATCTTTGTATAGGCTAATACAAATATTAATACTAATGTTAAGTCTTCAAAAAGCTGGGCAAGAAGAAGCTGGTAAAAAAAGGGAACCATGCCAATGTTTCATTCCATTATCGTATCTGTTGTATTGTATCGAGTTGGTATCATAAGTATTGTGTATCATTATATTTAATGGCAGGTATAAAGTCATTTTGGTATCATGACAACCGTAAAGCCGTCGATATGGTCAACTATTATTTAGTAAGATGGACTAAAGCAATTCCCTCAATAAATCCAGTCCAAAAGCAACTTAAAAGCATGCAGCCTCCTTAACTCTTGTATTCACTGTTGAACAAAAGCACTGCTGGAGAATTGTTCTGCGTTGGGGAAAGTGTGCGGTTCTCTAATTGGGCTCTTGTTTTTTTACATGAACGCATGCATAAATGCTGTACATTATGTCCCCATAACTTTTATTCTCGCACTGAAACATCGTACATACCAGTCCAAGAGTACATCCATAAATATGTGCGTCTGACAATAACTGGATGGCCCTGGACGGGTGTTAATGGCTGCACTACATTTTTTAAAAGGTATGCACATGGTGCTCTGTGATTAAACAAGATGCTATCAAAAAAAAATCACAATCTTTGTGTGCAAAAGAGAATAATGAGAAGAGAATATTAAGTGGAGAGCTGGGTAGATACACAGACACGTTCTTTCTTTCTTTAGTGTTCATCTGTTGACTTGCATGTATTATCAATCAAAGGGTTTAGGATTTGTATGCATGAACTCTCTATAACGTCTGTCTTCCCATCACTGCTTATATGAATACTGTATAATTATATAAACAAGTCTGCTTAAAAAAGAGATTAGAGACGATCATACAAGCTCATAATGACAGAATAGCACTTTAGGGAAACCTCCGTTGATTTCTACTGTTTAGTTTCAAAAGGCTCATAGGGGCACGTTCAGAAGCATTACATGATGCGTAATGCGGGATGTATGAACATGCAGATAGTTCTTTACATAAAGTGAGGGATTTTTATAATATTTCAGTAAGAAATAAAAGGTAATTTTTCAATTAGTCTCGCTATTGAACATATTTCAAAGAGTTGCAGAACCCACCCGCACCCTAAAAAAAGAAATCATCTCAGCGGCTCACAGCATCAGAACATGTTTAAGTCCAACAATGAACACAAGCTGTTGGGGCTCCTTCTCTCTATAGACATGAATCCGATATTCTATTTGTTAGTTTTTCTATAGGACTATGATGCTGGAGATAACACGAAGACGGCTGCGCTGAAGGCATGAAGACGACCTCGGCAACAAATTGGCAATGTCAACAGAAAGTGATCCAAGCTTTGTCTGAATCTCCACTGCTCAGTGTCTCCCTGCTTCTCCTCCCCACTAACACCAGCTCCCACTATATGCCCCCGCTTGCTCTAAACTTTGCCCTTAATTGAAAGCAATACTGGGCTCCTAGGCCCCTAAAATGAATTTGTCTATGATTACTCATGCCCTGGCGCGTTGCGAGCACCGGCTAATGTCTGCTTCATTGAATTAGGCTTCATCCTGTTCTTCTTCCCCTTTCCCCAGTCTCCGTCCTTGCCCGGGGGCGGCTATTGATTGAGCAGGTCTGGCTTTCGTATAAGGCTAGCGTTACC